GCCTTAACTGTTGAGGTTTCTTATCTAGGGTCTGATGTGGTGATTCCATCTGTCATTTATGCATGTTGTGATCATGTTTTAAGGAGGACTCTGTGGCAGCATTTATTGAGTTTACCAATTCTAGTTAATTGCCCTTGGATGGTGGTTGGGGATTTTTACTCTATTTTGAATTCTGAGGAAAGATTGGGTGGGGCTTTTCTTTCTATGGTTGCTGTGGAGGAGTTTGGAGATTTTATTAGTGAGGCAGGGTTGATTGATGGAGGCTTTTTTGGAAGTAAGTATATTTGGTGTAATAATCACCATGGTGCAACCAGAATGTGGCAGAGGATCGATAGGGTGCTTATTAATACAAGCTGGAGTTTAAAATTTTCTAAAACTGATGTGGTCATTTGGGGAGAGGGAAATCTGACCACTGTCCTTTATTGCTTAAAGTTTTGGATTGTCAAAAATAGAGGATCTCACCCTAGTTTTTCAGCATTGGTGGCAGAAAAATGGGGTGGTGGTTATGTTGAAAACCCATGGACAATATATTTTTGAAATTGAAGTACTTAAAAGCTCATTTGAAATTATGGAATAAAGAGGTGTTTGGCAACATCTTTGACGAAATCAGAAAGAAAGAGGTTACCGTAAAGAGAGCAGAAGAGTTGAATGAGGATGATGACTCTTTGACTAATATGCAGGAATTAGAAAGAGCTCAAAATGAGTTGGATAATGTTTTAAGAATGGAAGAAATATATTGGAGACAGTAGGCCCATGTGCAATGGGCTGTAGAGGGTGGGAGGAATACATATTTTTATCATACTCTTGCTAAGGGTAAAGCAGTTAGGAATAAGGTGGCTAGAATTCAAAATCTCAATGGGGATTGTGTATATTCTGATGAGGGCATTGGGAGGGTAGCTGAGCAGTTTTATTCTAATTTGTATCTGTCTGAGCAGCATGTGGTGGATGAGGAGATGATTTCTGTGATTCCTAGGATGGTGGATCAGGAGGTTAATAAAGAGCTTTTGAAAGAGGCTACTATGGAGGAGGTGAAAGATGTTGTTTTCTCCATGTCTGTGCATAGTGCACCTAGAGCTGATGGTTTGTCTGGTAAGTTTTACCAGGCTGCTTGGGAGGTTATTAAATTTGATATGGTTGTTGCTGTTAATTTTTTTCTGAAGGGAGGCATTGTTCCAATGTGTGTTAATGCAACTTTGTTAACCTTGATTCCCAAAAAGGTTAATCCAGTATCTTTTGCTGAATTTAGGCAAATTCGCTTATGTAATTTTCTTTATAAAGTTTTTACTAAGCTGTTGGTCTCTAGAATGGCTCCTTTGCTTTCAAGTCTGATTTCTTCTAAGCAGCATGGATTTGTGAAGGGGAGGAACATTTGTGAATGTGTTTCTCTGGCTCAGCTGATGGTTGGAGAGTTGGACAGAAAAGTTGAAGCTGGTAATGTACTGCTAAAGCTTGATATGATAAAGCATATGATAGATTGGAGTGGGATTTCTTATTGAAGATTTTGGGGAAGTTTGGATTTTCTGAGTTATGTTTAAAAGTTGTTGCTAATTGTTTGAATAATCAGTTCATTTCTGTTTGCGTGAATGGAAGGAGATTTGGTTTTTTTCCTACTTCCAGGGGGTTGAGGCTGGAAGATCCCATTTCTCCTTGTCTGTTTATATTGGCTGAAGAAGTTCTGAGTAGGGGTTTAAGGAAGTTGTATTTGGATGGTTTGGTTAGAAGTTTTCATTTAGAGAGAGGATCTACATCGGTTAGTCATTTGCTGTTTGCAGATGACACCTTGATCATTTTAAGGGGATATAAACAGTCTTTTGAGAATTTGTTTGGTTTCATTCAGGCTTATGAGCTGAGTTCTGGCCAAAAGGTGAGCTTGCTGAAAAGCTCTATGTTTTGTTCTAAGCATATTTTTCTAGCTACGAGGCAAGTTCTTACTGATGTGGCTGCTATACCATTCAAGCAGTGTCTTTTTACCTATCTGGGCTGTCCGATTATCAAGGGAAGAATGAGAATAAGAGATTTTGAGGAGGTTATTGTGAAGTTCAGAAAGAGACTGGAAGGTTGGTATTCTAGACTGCTTTCTAACATGGGCAGGTTGGTTTTGGTTCAGCATGTACTGTGTTCTGTGCCTATTCATTTAATTGCCTGTTTGAACTTGCCTAAAGCTGTGTTGCATAAACTTAATTCTCTCATGGCGCAGTTTGTTTGGTCTAACAAAGGTGATGTTAGGAAAAGGCACTGGGTATCCTGGGGAAAGGTAACTATGCCCAAGGAGGAAGGGGGTCTGGGTATGAGAAAGTTTGAGGAGATTCAAGTGGCTTTTAGAATGAAACGGGTTTGGGGAGTGTTACAGGTTCTTCTTTGTGGGCTCAAGTTTTCTCCGCTAAGTTTTTAAAAGGTAATCATGTATTGAGAAATCTTGGGAGGAGTCATTTTAAATGTTGTGAAATGCTGAGGCCCTATTTTGATAAGGTGGTGGGGCAATCTAAAGTAGTGGTGGGAATGGAAGCTGCACTAACTTTTGGTGTGACAACTGGCTAGGAAATGGGCCTTTGTTGACTAGGGTTGATGTTCTTCCTCAGTCTTTTCCTAAATTGTCTGACCTTGTTTTAGATACTCAATGGAGGTTGGGGGAGGTGTAGGAATTGTTATCTGAACAACTTATTCAGGAGGTCTTGGACTCTGGTGTGTTGTTAAATGGTGAACCTGATAGGTTGATATGGCAGGGATCAAATTCTGGGATATTCTCAATTAAGTCAGCTTGGCAAAAGTGTAGGCAGAGGGGGGAGAAGGATTTGACTGCTTCTATGATTTGGAGTGTTAAAACAACCCCTAGTGCTCAGTTGGTGGGGTGGAAAATCTTGAAAGAAGCCCTTCCTGTTGATTTAAATGTGCAGACGCTTGGATTTCCTATTGTGAGTAGATGCTCTCTGTGTTTTCAGCATGCTGAGAGTTTTGAGCATTTATTTGTTGGTTGTCCTTATACTTTTGCTATTTGGAAAAGGTTGGCTGGACTGGTGGGTTTTCAGTTGATTGAAGGTGAGGGCCCACTGGAAAGATTTAGGAGATTGGGAAGGATCTTTAAGAAGTCATCTATTGTTCATGGTTTAGTCAGAAGCATGCCATTGTTAGTTTATTGGCAGGTTTGGAAAGAGAGGTGTAGAAGGGTGGCAGGGGAAGGTTGTTTAAACTCGTTCTCCATTTATCTTAAACTCTGTAGAATTTTGAGATATCTAGGGAGAAATGTAAAAGCTAAGGTGAAGGATTTGGAGTCATTTATACTGGCTCAAAATTACGGTGTCTTTTTGTGTGGAGATTTTTGTTAGGTGGATTTGTTGGGAAAGGCCTAGGTGTGGTTGGCTTAAGCTTAATGTAGATCGGGCTTCAAAGGGGAACCCAGGGCCAGCAGGTGGAGGTGTTGTGCTGAGAAATGACTGGGGTGTTGTTGTATTAGCTGGCTCCTTTTATTATGGGGAGGCAACTAATATGGTGGCTGAGTTTAGGGCTCTTCTGGATGGGTTGGAATCAATTAAGGCATATGGTTTGGAGGGGAATAAAGTTTTAATTGAATCAAATTCCCTTGTTTTGGTAAATGCTATGTTGGGGAAAGGTGGCTGTATATGGCATTGTTTGAGATTCTTAGATCAAATAAAGATGTTACTAGGAAATTTGGAGTATCAGCTGAGGCATATTTGTAGGGAGTCAAATATGGTAGCAGACTGCCTAGCTAATAAGGCAGTACTGGACAGATGTTCTTCTTCTGATCTGTCTAGTGCTGGTTGTCTGCCTGCTGTAGTCAGAATGGTATTGATGCGGGATAGCAGGGGACTCCCTGTGTTGCGTACTAAGAAGAAGTTGGTTTGTGAGTATAAGGAGGATACTGGTGTTGGATAGAGCAAGTAAAGTGCTTAGCTGGTGCTGTGAGGTGCTGACCGCTGTGCTGCATTGGTCTACCTGCTGTGCAGCATTGCCATATTGCATTGTTAAGCTGCTGAGCTATGGTGCTGCAGTGCTGATATGCTGCTTTGCTGGAGATGATTGGAGCTCTGAATTGGAGTCCGATCTGGTTTTATCCAAGATCAGTCTGTGCAGGCAAGGCTGCTGTTATTGTATGACTAGCAAGTGCTTTAGCTGCTGAGGAAGAAGAGGAAATTTATCTGAATTTCCTTTTTGCAATTTTGAGATTTTTGAAATTTCATTGATGTAAATTTTTGGATTATAGAGTGTATTGAAGGATTAAGCCAATTTGGTTTGATCCTCTTTGCTTCTTGTAAATTTTGTTTCATGGAATAAAATTTCATTTTTTCTAAAATAATAAAAATAATAATGACAGATAAACACTGTTCTAAGGATGACAATTTGTACGGTGTATCAATCCATTGGAAAAATCAAATAACCAATGTCCAAAGAACAGCAATATAAAGCCATTTCTCGCAATGCCAAAAGAGAGTAGTCTTACAGTACTAACATGTGTTTCTCACCAAATGACCAATCCAGAACACAGAAAAGGTAGAGTTTATTGAATTTGTCACCGATGGAATTCTTGTCACAAATATTTTTGACAGGGAAATTTTGAAAACTTTCCTATTTCACTTCCACTCTGCTGGAAGATAGGCCCAAAGGAAGAACAGAAAAAAGCAAATACCTTTCCCCTGTCTCTACGACATGCTATGACTGGAATTTTTTTGGAGCTTTCAAACACATATATACATATATATTTATTTTGATATATAATAAGATCCATATATTTCCATAGCTATTTGTAGAATTTTAATTAGAAGTTCTTCTTACTCGTTTTCACAGAAACCTAACTGGTGGCATTATCCATATTTTTTCTATAACACGTTTACAAGTCCTATACAAGAATTCAAGAATTTTTTCCCTTTATGAAACCTGATTAAGTTTTTTCACTGGATCTATCATCTCTTTTACCCGGAGAAGTTAAGGATACAGTACTAGTTAGTTATTACTGACAAATTTCTACTAATGCACAAATTTCAATATCAAGAAGAGACTTTACTCACTGTGGGGCGCTTTGTTCGTTGATAAACTCTCTCAAGAGTTTCAACTTGAACTTTCTTCAGTCTTTTTTGAGCAGACCAGTTGCCTTGCATGACATGAACTGGAACTTTAGCATTGGTCTCCGGCTTTGCTGCATCTGTAGCTGTTCCCACAGGATCAATTTCCAGAGGTTTAGTTTCAGGCTCTGGCACTGTTGAAACAGGTCTATCAGGTAAAGCAGCACTCATCATTAGAAGATTCGGAGGGGGGTCACGAAGTAAGTCAAGAACAACAGCTCTATCAAGACACAGCTCAGCAGCAAGATTCTTGATCTGCAAGGAAAGTGTAGAATGAACCATTAAAAATTCACCATGGTGAGCATGCAGATCAACATCATCATACTAGTACAAGGAAAATGAGGAAAGTACTTCATTCTCTTTGTAGAATTTTTTACGAGACATATGACTGTGTCAATACATTGTGTATTCACTGGCCCTGTGTAGAAAGCATAGAGGCCTGAGAATACTACATCAGAACATTGTTTCAAAGTTTTCTTGAAAGGCAGCTTCTTAAAGAATTGTTTAACAAACTCAATGAAATAACTTCCTGCAAATGGTCTCAGGTACAGCGTAGTTGGTCAGGTAAAAATTCCAAGCAGCTACTAAAGTTGGAGTCCATACAATATTAATGAACTGCCCCGGAACAGAAACCTACCGACCATTTCTACAAAAATAACAACCCTTCTCAAAATCAATGTCTTTGATGATCTCTGCTTGATACGTGGACATCTCCACTTCATTTTTCTAATCAAATGTTTAAAACTGTAAAATTTGGTGAGAATGAACACTACAGGACATACTTTTGATGATGTGAGTGGTGGACAAACCACAAGTGCACCCCTTCCTAATCCTTCAGCATATAACGAACCAGCATATAGCAGGTGAGCAGTATAGATGTTGCAAGAATATACAAGCATTTCAAGTATAATATTAAAAAATAAGGATGATTTGCACCAATTAAATTGGTATGACCACGTATGAGTAACATAGATCATAACATAAAGATGCTTACACTAGTTTTACGCCGACCAGTTTTTAAAGCATAACCCAATCGGCGAAGTTGCCAATTTTTAAGATTCACTGGTTCATCTTCATCATCATTGTCTTCATCTTCAACTTCCTTCCCATTATTTTCCTCTACAGTTGAGCCAAGTACTTCTGATAGTTCATCATCCCCCAGTGCCTCCTCTAATTCGCGTTCAAGCTTTGCAAGGTCTTCTTCACTTATCTCATTGTCATCATAATTTGCAGACAGGTCATCATTTTTAAGATCTTCTTCAAGCTGACGGAAGAGTGCCTCAAAAGCATCTTCATCCAAATCATCCTCCCCAACATCACTATGAGGCAAGCTTTGCTACACGAAGCAAAGAAAATGGAACAAAGTATTACAATTTTAACCAACACTATAAAATAACAATCTTATAACGCCACTGTGTATGTTGATAACTTCCAATGCCCATACAAACTCTGAATAAATAAGTTCAACAAACTTCAAGAAAAGGGAAGAAGTAACAACAACAGCAACTTTACATCAGTCCAAACACGAGAATTGGTTGAAGAAGTCAAACAACTCCAGGTCATGAAATTCAAAAGTGAGCTCATGAGATTGAAAGGCAACTTTTGTTGATCTATGGAATAGATACACAATACAAAATATAACCTCTATTAAAACTCCGCAAATTTACTTCAACTAATTTGTAGAATGCCCGTGTCTGACTTTTATTTCCATGGGGGTCCAAATGCACCTGCTGTGAAGTCAAAGAATCACCTCACCAAGCAAAGCAAACTAATATCCGCATTAGTTTACGGCAAGTGAAACTGTGCTAGCAGGGCCAGGCCTAGCTGATTTTGACAAAAGAATTTGTCATTCAGACAGTCACCAATAAGTCTCATTTGACTTTAAGGGTCTTAAGTATTTGGTGGTCATGTGGACTGAAATTAGACATTCGAGACAAAGCTTCTCCCGTGATCTAAGACATAGACCATAAAGTTTTGACATATTGCATACCAAGGTCGTACACTCGTACTCATTCCATATGACTTACAAACAAATCACCAGTTAGTAACACTCTGTTCGTTATTGGGACTTCATATGCGAGCATCTTATTCAAAACACAATTGACCTGCCATCAGCACTCACTAATGTAAAAAGAACACCCCCTACTCCAAAAGGCTGTAACCAGAGAAACTGTCGAACATTAATAGTGTACACATGTTATTTTTTTTGAGCTCACGTAGTTGGAGAAAAAATTATCGATTAGTTAGATAATATTAGGCAGTTTTTAACATTCAAAATAAAGCAGCATAATTCACATGAATGACCATTTGTTTATCACTAAATGCAAATCAACTTGAATTAGTTCTCCATTAAAAAAAACAATTCTGGGAAGGTAATGGTAAAAGGAGTTGAGAAAATATGATGCGTACCTTCTTTTTCTTTGGTGGAGTAATTGCCGACTGGGTTTTGTCTCGTCGGCGAGAGAAAGCTAGTACAGATGAAGAGCGATTGAAGGTGTGGCGTGGAAGGTTTAGATTGGGTCTAGGGTGGCCCACAAAAATGGATTCTCTGTGGGAAGATGAGGGACATTGGAGGGTCATGGAAATATGAAGAGATGATGAAGCAGAAGCCATTCGTGTGTGTAACTCTCTCTCTCTCTCTCTCTCTCTCTCTCTCTCTCTCTCGCGATGCAGTCGGAGCTGCGAAGACGAGGACAGGAAAAGGAAAAGGAAAATCCTCTGGGAAGGATTTAGGATTGCAGTACCACTTGTATGTCACAATAGCATTACTGTTGGGACTAATACCATGGAGATATTCTATCTAAGTCATGAGATTTTTAAATTATTATATTTTGAATAGAAAATAGGGTAAATTATAGTTTGTGCCTCAAAAAATTTTAATATTCTTACTTTGTACTTTTAAAAATTAAATTTTATATATTATACTTTTAATGTTTCAAAACTGTTGTTTTTTTTTTATTCTTTTTTAAGGGGGAAGGGGAAGGGAAAGGGAAAGGAAGAGGGACTTGAACCCTTGACCTTAAGAAGACAAAATTTTTATGAGATAAAAAGTATTATTAGACCAAAGGTCTATTAATTATTAAAAATGTTGTAATATGATTATTTTGTTAGTTTTCTATTAGTTTTTTTATCAGTGTCAATGACTTGACTTTTGACCAAAAAAAAAAAATTAACAAAAAAGTTACACTGCAATAATTTTGATATATTCAAAGTATAATATAAACATTTTAATCTTTAAAGATGCAAAATAAAAAAAATTAAAATATTTTGGGTACAAAGTGTAAAAAACCATAAAAAATATTTGAAAATCAAATAATAATTTTTGAGATATAAATCATTAGACAATTAATTATAAAATATTATGATCAGATAAGTAACTTTAATTAGTCTTAACTTTATTGTTTAATAATAAATTGACCATCAATAATAATAGTTCGTGCAATGTTATAGCATATTAGTGTCAAAAAAATTTGAGTAATGCTAGATGAACTTAAAAACTAGATTTAAAATTAGACTTGATAATCTCAATCATTGAATAGGTAGTGGGGTCCTAATAAATGCTATGATCCACAGTGAAATCAATAGTTGAGATTATAAAATCTAATTTTTAAGTCTACTTTTTAAGTTCATATAACATTGCGCGGGGACTTCAGGAATAGTCAAACCCTCTAATTTCTTGTCGTTGATAGAATTTCATTAAATTTGATCTCGTTTATATGAAATTTGGTCAATTTTTCACCAAGTTAATAAGATAATATTAGAGAGTCTTTTCCTTAAACCCCGATTTAAAAGACCAAATTATTTTAATTATTTTTCCTCCTGTTTAAATATGAACCCCCTATGGTTTTTAAGAAAGCACCATGAATTATTACTCGAAACCAAAATTCAACTGGTTTGTATGAAATTGAAATTTTAAATGTTTCACCATAGGTATGGTTAAATGATATATATATATATATAAAATAAAGTATAATATAATTCAAATCTCAAAAATAAATAAAATGACTTTTGATGATGCCTAAAATAAATTCTAAGTGTTAGTTCAGGAGTTCAGTTCAGATTGGGAGGTCAGACATATTAACTGAGGTCAGAAGGCAAGGGCTGAATGTCTCTTGAGGTAAGGCAACGACTGGATAACCACGAGAGGTTCCTAAAGCGTTAGGAAGCTATAATCAAGGTATCTAATCTCAATCAACCAATATTTTCTCCTAGAATTAAGGAGAATCCCACGAAATAAAGGCAAAAATCTCGGCCAAAATTCCACTGAATAGGGAACAGCTCTATAAATACTATGTGACGCCCCCAAAGAGGGGGAGAGGACCCTAGAGGCAAAAAATAATCATTGTACTCTTGTAATCATCATTATTGAAAGACAAGGAGCAAGAGTCTCCATTAAGGAGTAGATTAGCCGAACTCCCAAGCTAGTGAACTATTATACTTTTTCTTTGTTAATCCTCTCAGCCCCTAAAAAAACATTTCTTNGGTGGCGGTGGGGGCGGTGGGGGGGGGGGGGGGGGGGGGGGGGGGGGGGGGGGGGGGGGGGGGGGGGGGGGGGGGGGGGGGGGGGGGGGGGGGGGGGGGGGAGCCAGGATTTTGCATTAACTGTAACATTGTTTTTTATCAAAATATGTATTATTTATAAACTGTTTATAGGCATAGTTATATCAAAAGAATGTCATTTAGAGACGCAACTCATGTATATGAGTGATATACAAAAAAAGACAACAAATTTAGTGTTTGAGATCCTATACAAAGGGAGCTCTCAACTCTTGAACATCCAATAAATCCTTATAATTGTTCTCAACGAGTTTTCATATTTTAGAACCGTTGCATAATCATTTCATTTTCAATGATACTTGAAATATCTTTATCAATATATGCAACCAAGCAATCATTCATCTATTGATCTCTCGTTTGATTGTGCAATCGATTCTTTACTATGTTTATTGTTGAAAATGTTCTTTCTATGGTTGCAGCGGCAATTGACAATATAAGTGCTAGTTTGATGAGCAAATATACCAACTGATATACTATGTTTTTTTTTGTCTCGACTAACTTCTCTGCAAGTTCACCAATTCATTTAACTTCTAAACGTTTATTGGAGCGCATATCAAGTTTATAAGTCTTAAGTTGATTATCAAGTATTAAGAGCCCCATTGGGAAAAATTCTGAAGGATAAAATTGATCAAGACAAAGTAACTTCCCCTTTTTGAATGCAGAGAATGAATCCATTGTATTTATGCATACCACACAAAGAAGCATATTGGTGTTTACCTAAGTAAAACGATTGCTAAGCTCTTGAAATTGCATATCTAACGCCGTAAAAAATAACTCAACACGATAGCAGTATAGATTAGTGACTTGGGAAGATAGCTACTGAGAGAGATGGTTGATTTGGGAAGCTGAGTGGGTGGGAATGATCAGGGAGGTGTAGAAGGAGAAGGGGGAAAGAGTGGAGGGATCCATCATAAGGAAAAGTGTTGACTGATGCATCACCATATTATTAGGTAATAGAAATAGTGTGTCCTAATGTTCTTGAAAAATTTATTGAGGAATTATTTACTACTAATATTGATTATTAGGGCTTGATCATAGCTTATGTTAACTGGAGGGCTTGATCAATTAGAGTAATCGTCAGCATCTGGCATATACATTTTGTGCAACCCTCAGAAGTAAGCTTGTCACTAGATAAATTTGTGAACAGAACTGTTCCAAATTTTAATTGAGACCTAAATTCTAATCCAAACGCAAATCTTTTAATATTTTATTTCATGAATTCAAAGTTGGATATATAATATGTCACTACAAGAAAATTCACTTTTAGCCGCTATATTTAGATTGTAGCTAAAAATGTTGCCACTGAATAAATATGTTTAGTGACAAAAAAAATATTATTGTCACTACAGGTATGATATTAAAATTATTTAGTGGCCATAGTTATTTGTCGCCACTAAAGTTATATAATTAATGGTGAAAAATTAAGTTAACTTGCTGTAATAATTATTGTGGCTAAAGATTTCATATTTAGTGACAATTTTCACATTGCGGCTAAAAAATTTACTTTTAGTGGAAACAATTAATGTAATAGCTAAATAATTTAGTCACACACATATTGTCGCGGCTCAGTGGCAATAAAAACATTGTCACTAAAGTATATAGTGATAATTTTTATGCATTTAGCCACAACAATTTTCGCAGCTAAAAGAACAATTTCTTGTAGTGTGTATATATGTACATATATATGTATATGTATATTAGTATGTGAAGAAATTAAATGATTATTTCATGTGACTGAATTAAAAGTCATATTTAATTTGCTAAAATTTAACTTTAGTAAGTTATTCAAATCGGATTAAGTTTTCGGATCGGATACCTGATTTCACATGGTTTGGATTTGAACTGTGACAATAAATACGTGAAATAAATGTAGTAGATGTCAAGTTTCTCAATTAAATTTGGATTGATGTCAATTTATTCCTGATACGTTTACAGACCTAATTAGAAGTGTTATAGAGGAAGTGTCAACCTCAAACAGTGTTGTGCATCAATGAGTGAAATTTTTTCATATGAATGACATATATTGTGGGTGTATGAAAGACACTTATTCTTTACCGCACCAAATTCAGTACTAACGATTCAACTCACTCAAATAACTACGAAAATGCGAGGATGTAAGGACTCAATGGGGTTCGAATATTGAGATCAAACGGGTGGACTGTAAGCACTTTATGGGGTTCAAAATATTGGGATCAATCCCTTATTTATTGGATCAATCTTTCGATCTTGTTGAATCATAATCTTTGTCTAATTAATCACAACTTAACCAGATTGAAACGTAACTATGTTTGAGTACCATAGAATTCTCTTAAAGATGCACCATCTTTATTTCTTTTGTTTCTTTCTCCGGAGGCTTGATCAAGAATGCAAATGAAAGAACCTACTTTATTTATTTTGGAAAGGAAAAGTACAAATACTTGTCTTAGAATGTTGTTTAAGAATAAAGAACTCCTCTTTAATGACTATATATTACCATAATTCTCTTTGTTACACTTGCTAGAGCAGAGAGGATATGTCATAGAGTAAGTGCTTAAAGAAGTTAAGTAAATGTATTTCTTTGTTTTCAATGCTTTCTTTTATTTTCTTGTGAATAATTGGTTCTATTTTTTTGGTTTCAGATGTTTGCCAAGTTATTATCGTAAAGATCTTAAACATATTCAAGGATTGTGAATTTCGTAAGCTTTCACTTTTATTGGCTCCTTTATTACTATCTAGAACGTTTTGACATTAAACTAACTGCGCGTGGTCTACTTGGTCACATCTATTTCTATTGAGAGGTTTTCATCTTCTCTTTTTCGGGTTCAATTATATCCTTTTTATGAACTCTCTCTCCTATTCTTTTTTAGGGGTGCAATTTGAGCGGATTGAGAGATCAACTCTAGCCCAATCTCAAGTATAAAATCTTCAACCTTAATTTTAACCCGATCTTAACTCGAGTATTGTCCGAGTTGATTTTTGATTATCCAATTCGAGTTGGTAATTCAGGCTCAACAAATAATAATTTTAAGGAAAAATTGTAAAGCGTACACAAAATTATACTTATTGTAAAAAAAATACATAACTCTTAATGTTAGGTCACTAAATCCTTATTTTTAGAACTTAGTTGTGTCAAAGTACACAATTTGAGTTTTTGTGATTTTTTTTGACATATTTACCCTCATATATATATATATATATATATATATATATATATAGTTCTAATAAAATAGAAACCTAAAATTAAGGAAAATTAAAACGCATAATAAATCTTCTCCATTTTTTAAAAAATAAGGAATTTTAATTATCTTATCTTAAAAAGTTTTAAAATTAAAAAAATTTGATTTTAAATTAAATTTAATTTGGTGACACATGTATGTGTTAATATATATACCTACCTTATTATATATTGCTGTAGAGGAGTTTTGTTGTAATACTATTCATTGTTATATTGATACACTACTGTAGGTAAAAGGACAAGAATGTATTAGGATTAATGTGAACACAAAGAGAATGCGTTGGAACAATTTCGAATTACAAGAAAATACATGAGACAATTCGAATGAGGCCAAAGAAATTTGGACACACTTTTAGACAATGTCTTCATACTGTTTATCATTTTAGTGTATTCAACACTGGTTTTATTTTTTAAACTTGTATAGGTATTGATTTATGTGGGTTAATTATTCATTTAACTCTACGTTTTTCCAATCATTTCATTTCAACAAATACCTTAGCAATCAAATAGTTGGTTTATGAAATCACAAGGTTGGGGGAACACATATCCTACTCTATAGGGGCTTGGCGTGAGTGGTTGGCAATGCCAATTATAACTTAGAATATTTAAATATATTTTCATGATTATCTTATCTTATAAAGGTTTTATGAAAGAGAATAATGTTGTTTTTTTCCAGTGACCATTGATTCACCTTATTCTACCACGAGAATGGAACGTGGTGGCATAAAGGAAGAAAGTACAAGTAATGTTGATACCACAATTGAAATAGAAGTCCCATATGGTCCACTGGTAACTTCAATGAGGGAGAGACTACAGAGCTTGACGCCAAATTCCTCTGAGTATTGCATCTATAGGGTCCCCAATAATATTAGGGGAACAAATGAAGCAGCCTTTGCCCCTATCAGAGTCTCAATTGGTCCATTTCACTATGGCAAAGGGGTATTAAAAGCCATGGAAGAGAATAAATGGAGGTATCTACAGAACTTTCTTGAACGAACCCAAAAGAAGTTGGAGGAATTTGTTGAAGTAATAAAGGAGAAGGAAGAAAGTATACGCCTGTGTTATGCAGAAAAGATCAAACTTGACAGCGGCAAGTTTGTGGAAATGATACTTGTTGATGCTGCTTTCATCATTGAATTCTTGTTGAATTTTGTGGTCCCTAATCGTAGAGATGAGAATGATATTTTATTTCAGAATAATATTATATTTTCGGATATAAGTCGTGATTTATGGCTGTTGGAAAATCAAATTCCATTTTTTATTCTCGGGGATATTTTTAGCATGACAGTCTTACAGGGGGCATCCTCTTCAAGCCAATATGAGATCCTATCTTTCCTCGACCTGACTAGCCAATACTACATTGGCATGCACCTGGGACTCAATGCCAAGAAAACAATCCCTTCAGGAGCGATGCATTTCACTGATTTCCTAAGAAGTTGTATCATACCATCAGAAGAACCGCAACCCCGCAACAGAGTAGGAAGAATCGAATTCACACGTAGTGCAACATTGCTCCAGAAGGCCGGAGTGAAGTTTAAGAAGCCAGGAGTGATGAAGAACTTGTTGGACATCAAATTTAGTGATGGTGTTTTAGAAATCCCACATTTAATGTTAACCGATGAGACAGCCAGTTTATTACGAAATGTTGTGGCCTTTGAGCAGTGTCATGCTCTACCCCTTTACATGAGCGACTATATCACCCTGTTGGATGGCCTCATTGACACTACAAAAGATGTTGACTTATTTATTCGTGGGAAAATTATCGAGAATTGGCTTGGTGATAGCAAAGGGGTGGCAGATTTGTTCAACAAACTTGGCAGAAATATAATAGTCAGCGATACAGAATCCTATTTTGCTAGAGTTTATGAAGACCTGAATGATTACTTCCATAGTCCTTGGCACCATTGGAAAGCAATCTTGAAACAAGAATATTTCAAGAATCCTTGGGCTGGAATATCTGTCATCGCAGCAGTTATTCTTCTTATACTCACCTTTATACAAACTGGGTGTTCTAACAATTCCATTCTGTGAGAATTGTGAGATGCGTTTTCTCCTTCTTTTTAATTATTGGAACCCTATTCTGGGCAATGACGCTGAGGTCTTGCTGAGAAATAAACTTGATTGTACTTATTTATTTATTTATTTTTTTGTGAGTTGGTTTTCTCATTCATGTATGTAATGTAATGTTCGTTAGTGGTGTTTTGATTTAACTTCAAAGTAGTGGATGAGTGATGAATAATTAATATTTTTGGTGGCTAGAAAAAGTATAATTAGGAACATGGAGCATTATACATTTGATATTCTCTAATTTTTTTCCGATTATTCAACTAAATATTATAAACTCGTATTTCCAACAAAATGGTATCAGAGCTAGGTGTATGATGCCAAAGAAATATATGGTTAATGGGATACTTCCCTTTTAAATGTCCCAATTCACCAAACACAATTATGAAAAATTGTGTACCCACCTGAAAGTGCTCACTGGATAACTTGTGGGAGCTTGTAAACAAAGGCTACACAAAACTAAAGAATGGAGCTTACTTAAATCTAACCCTAAAAAAGGATTTGCAAGCTACGAGGAAGAAGGACCAAAAGTTTTTTCACTTATACATCAATACTCGAATGGTGTTATGTCACAAGAGATTTCTAGTGCTGCCAAACAAACATGAAAGGTTTTTCAAACCGTTCAATATTAGAGTTGAGAAAGTAAAGAATATTCACCTCCAAATTATAAGGGGCGAATTTGAGGTTGTACGGATGAAGGAATTCCAAATTAATTCGTCCCACAAAAAGAAAATATATCAAAACTCATTACATGCATTAGCATGTAGAAGAAAAAATAGTTGAAGATTATATTAAAGAGTGTACATGTTCTAGTGGAATAACTAGAGATGTAAAATGGTTGGGATTTGTTTTTAGTGTAAAATGGATCTCATTAGTGTAAAAGTCATAAAAGTAGATTTGACTTTATTGAACCTTGGTCTATATAAACTTTTTAGGGGCCATAAAATCAATATTTGATTTAATTGATATGGGTATGAAAATTATATTTTTTACTTGAAACCAAAATTGGAGTTAATTAAATATGGATATAAAAAATTTATTCGAAGATCAAAAGAAAAAAAATTAAGCTTATCATAAAGTTTTTTTGACACCCTTAAAATCGAAGTTAATTAAACTTTGATCTAAAAGTTATATTTGGGCCTTGAAACAAATTTATAGTTAATTAAACTAAAATCAATTTTTTTAAATATAATTAAATTTGGATCCAAATTTTTTTTAGGCCACGAAAATATGGGCCCTAGGCGACGGTTTCAATTGCTTAGCCTATGGGGCTGACCTTGATAACAACAAACAAAAAGAAAATCGAGCGAAATCTATATATCCTATCTAGGCCAATTATATAAAATTCCATTTAATTTTAATTAATTTAAAATACTTGATTTCATCATGGACTTTAAATTTACAAAAACATCAAGGATAATAATGTCTTGACAAGTCAAAAAATTTTACGATGTTTTCATATAATTTGAAAAGGAGTTCCAAAACATGCAGACTTTAAATTCCTTTGGGAAGCACCAAAAGAATGCAGTAGTAATACATTTTCACATTGTAAAGGAAAAAGTATTTCCATCATCTTTATATTAATGTGAGGTAGTTGTTTTGAATACGAATAAATTATTTTCTACAAACTAATATGAAAGAGTAGCTCCGTATATGATTACTCCTCCCAATATTTTGATTTACGAGAATCCAACTAAGTGTAAAATCTCACGAAAAAAGGAAATTTAATAAAAAATTATAAAAAAAGCTTACACTCATTTGTTTTATTTAGAATGTAAAATTTAGAAAATATTTGGAATGCATGTCTTTATTGTGATTGTATTGGGATCCTATATAACATGGTTAGATATCATATATTAATGTTATTAGGTACAAGAACATCCATATAAAATATAGAATGGAAACGGGTTAGAGGCCTCCAGTTCCACTTAGATTCGACGACTATTAAATCTTTTCTGCATCAAGGAGGATTGAAGATGGATCAAAAACCTTTAAGTATTAAACGGGACTCACATGAGCATATGAGAATTGGAGAAGTCCAACGTCTCCAACTACTCTTTTTGGCATTCTCTCCTCCTCCAACGGTTATGCCAAATGCTGTCTGGGAAAAACAAAATTTGGTATCTTGTCAAATTTGATATATCTCATCTCCTATACTAAATTCAATATTTTATTGAATTAATATTATTAGAATTTATTTTGACATATCTGTTGTAGTGCATGGTGAAGATATCAAATGATATATGTCAAATTGCAACATAAATTTTTAAAATTTAAATTTGCACCTATATTGAAGATGCTCTAATAATTTTATCCACAATTATTCTAACTAAATCCTAAACTTTAGTAGATTTTTTCATTTATTGTTGTAATGTTACCACAGTTGAGGTAAATTCGTCCACCATAGTTTTATCTTAACCCAATTCTATGGTAAATTCACCATTTTTTTTCTTAATGTTGTTCAAAGTTGTCGTAATCTTAAATAAAAAAGTTATAAATTCTTCTCTAAACTTGTAATTATATCCAGAATTGTGATAAACTAACTCTCAAATGTGGTAAATTTATCCTTAATTGTGTTACATTGTCCACAATTCTAGAAAATTTTATCACAATAGTGGTAATATTATCCTTAATGGTATTAAATCTAATCAATCTGAAGGTAAAAGTAAGATTGGTACTTTTAACCACATTTATCGTAAATATTACATTAGTGCATTTCACTAATGTCATAAATTTACCTTTTAGTTTGTATTATTATTTACAATTATTATCATATTAATCAAAATGAAAGTAAAATTGGCCTATACACTAGTAACCTTATTTACAATTTTTCTAACTTAACCCTAAACTATAGGAAATTTTTCCTTTGATATTGTAATTTTACCACAGTTGTGTTACCACAGTTGGCCTATCGGGGTTCTCCTCATTTTCCTTTTGGTTGACCGTGAAACCTAGGAACTTATCTAACCCTACGCCTAAGGTGCACTTCTCAGGATTCAGCTTTATGTGGTATGACCTGAGAATGTTAAAAGTTTCTTAGAGGTGGTCAATATGGTCTGCTGCGGCGAGACTTTTTACCAGCATGTCATCCACGTAAACCTCCATTGTTCGCCCGATCTGAGATTGGAACATTTTGTTCACTAGACATTGATAGGTTGCCCCTGTAGCAGTAGGTCCCTTTTGGAGTGATAAACGATATCTTCTCTTGATTTGGGGGTGCATGCTGATCTAATTATATCCAGAATATGTGTCCAGGAAAGTGAGTAATTCGTGTCTTATGCTGGCGTTGATGAAGAGGTCAATTCGTGGTAGTGGGTAGCTATCTTTTGGGCATGCCTTGTTGAGCTCAGTAAAGTCGACGCAGAGGTGCCACTTTTCATTGGTTTTGGTCACCATCACCACATTTGAGAGCCACTCAGGATATGCTACTTCTCTGACTGCCCCATTTTCTATTAGTTTTTCCAATTCCTTGTCCATCGCTTGAGCCTTTTCTGTGGAGGCGCCCCTTAGAAATTTGAAGGACGGGCTTGTAATAAGGGTTGACATTGAGGCAATGTGTGGTAACGTTCGGGTCGATGCCTTCCAGATTTGCATGCGACCATGCAAAAATATCCATGTTGCGCCTCAGGAAATCTACAAGTTGGCGGACTAAATTCTCAAGAAGGGAGGAACCAATGTACACTCTTCGGTCTAGGTGCTCCTTATTTAGGACTATTGGTTTGAGCTCCTCTATTGGTTCTCCTCTTTCTAATGTGGCATCATCTCTCAGGTCGAGGACCTCCACTTGTGGGGCCTTTTGTGGCTTTCTAGTCTTCATAGAGGAGATGTAGCATTCTCTTGCAGCTACTTAATCTCCTTGGACCTCTCTGATTCCATTTGGGGTTAAAAAATGGAGGATGAGATAGTAGGTGGAAGGCACTGCTCTTAGGGTGTTGAGAGCAGGTCGCCCTAGGATAATGTTGTAGGCCGACAGACAATCTATCACTAGGAAGTTGACCATAATTGTGGAGCTTCGGGGTTCTGCGCCGACAGTGACTGGTAGGGTGATGGACCATAGGGGATACATTTTCTCCCTTGAGAATCCAATGAGGGGCGACCTGATAGGCTGCAGTCTTTCTCTACCCAGGTTGAGCTTGTCATAGGCTTCAGTGAACAAGATATCCACAAAGCTGCCTCTGTCAACAAGAATCCTTCATACCTGGAAGTTGGCGATGGTCATTGTGAGCAGCAGAGGGTTGTCATGGGGGTGTTGGAATTTTTCTAAGTCCTTGTCTAAGAAGGATATGACCTCGTTGTTTCCATGCTTAGGTGCCTAGGATGGGCTCAATTTGTTGAGTTGCCTAGCTTTCCTGTCATGGACGAGATGGTGTGAATTTTGGTGATGGGTTATTGGGCCTCTTGGTTATGAGGTAGTGGCGGCGCCTGACCCCTATCAACAATATACTGGTGTAGGTGACCACGTTGTATGAGCTCTTTAATTTGTCTCTTGAGGTTGTAGCAATCATAGGTGTTGTGGCCGTAGTCGCGATGGGAACGACAATATTTGTTCGGGTTCCTACGGTTTGGGGAAGACTTTATCATTTTTGGCCATTTTATTGCAAGGTCATCTTGGATCTGGAATAGGATGTGCCTGACAGCGGCATTGAGGGGAGTGAAGGCTTGTCGGTCTCTCTGAAGAGTAGGATTAAGCCGGTCTTTGGTAGGTACCCTCTTTATCTTGTTGCGCTTGTTGTCACTCTCCTTCTTGTCGTCCTTGTCTCTTTCCTTTCTTTTCTCCCCTGTCCTAGAAGACTCACCTCGCATGACCTTTGTGATATCACAACATTCATGTACTTCTAAGCTTTAGCCAACAGCTCCAACATGCTTTTTGACAGACTCTTTATCACTGAAAAGAGGAAGCTTGTCGATCGGAGGCCTCACAAGAAGAAGGTCATAGTTACCTTGTCATCGGGCTCCTCAACCTAGAG